TCTATTTTTCAATCTCCTCTACCACTGTATTAGTCCAAATTAACAAAAACCTCTCACCTGAGTAACTATCACAGCCTCAAAATGCAGAATCTGTTTATCTTGCTGCTTCTACCGTTTTAGTGGCTTCCTAGTGCTCTCAAAGTCAAAACCCCAAACTAGACTTAAAACTCGCTTTTCTATTTGACTCTAAATCTTTTTTCGGCTCCATCTCACATAATGTTCTATTCATTTTTCTGCACACTCCCAGATTTGACATTATTTTAGTTCCCTTACATTTGCTTAATACACTTTGCTTAATACACTTTGTATCTGTGTTAGAATATTCCTCTCCTTTCACCAGTTCACTTCTAGAAATGATTATACCATAACTTAAGTACTACATCTTTAGATAGGTCTAAACCTCCCTCTTTTAGCAGCCCTCTGAACAAGGGAAATTTATATTTGCATTTGCAATATTACTGATTAATAACTACCTAATTATAAAGTAAGCTACATAAATGCGTGGACCACAACAGTTTTCACTCAATTTTCTGCACATTGTCTAACCCATAGCAGTCACACAGAAAATGATTTGTGGAATAAATGAACAGTCTTTGCTCTGGCTGAAATATCTAAGCCTCCAATCATTATGAACAAGCAGTGTCTTAGACTTAGGCACTGGATAACCCAGATGCTGTGAGAAAGCTGCATAGCAACCAATGCCCAAAATCTCAGTGTCCTGTACAAAAATAGTATTTCATGCTTATGGATTTATACATAAACCACAACTTGACTGATCTCAGGTAGAATTACCTGCTGGACTAGGCTAGGCTGCTGGCTTTGAGTAGAGCTTAGTTCTGCTACAAGTACCATCATTCTAAGGCCATGTAAAGACTTCTCAGCATGTGTTCTTTATCACCAAAGTCAGCAGCTCCAAGAAGTTTGGTGAGATTTTACCACGGTTCCTAAAGCCTCATGTTGAAGCTATCTGTATCCACATTTCACTGTGGAAAGCAACGAAGTCCAAAATGAGTGAGCAGGAAAGTATAACCTACCCATAGGAAAGCCATGGTGAAGATGGTGAGAGAAGAAAGAACTGTGGACAAATAATACAGTCTACACCAGCTAACAACCCAGAATGACAGCGAGGATTCTTCTGAACTGATAAAATTTTAGAAAACTGAAATACTAAATCATTAATAAACGATAGTCATCATAGGCTGAAGATACTTTCTGATCAAATATTTACCCAGGGGAGTGCCAGGTGTAGCCTCAGAATCTGGTTATGATGTTTACATTTATCTGAAATCCTGATTTCTGCTCAGAATACACATTTCATCCCATTTCATTCACTTCGATTCCGTACATGTTAGCATTCCTCTCACTCAGATTTATTACAAAGTGTGTTGATACTTTTCTCTTCAGTATGCATCCAGCTATCTTAGATGTATGGATTTGATACAGAACGTCATGACAGTGTCCTCTGAGCCAATATTAGCAGATAACTCTCCGTTTCCTGCCAGTTATCCCCAGGCTTCATGATAAATCCATGACAATACTGTCAAGAAATCAGAAAATACATTTAAATATGCTTTTACCAAAATACTAGTCTATTAATTTGGGAGTTAGAAGAGACACTATTTAAAATATCATAATTCTGCCATGGATTTAGATAAAATCCTAGAGAAACTTCCCCTGTCCTTGATGGTAATGAGTTTCCAGTTAACCTTACTACAGAAATTCTACCATCAGTGATAGTCTCAGTATTCCTGGAAATCCATGCACAAAACAGTGTCAATTAATAGTTTTTTAAAATAATATGAGTGCCTTAGAGAATGAAGTTTTATTTCTTGTGCACGTTTAATAAATTTGCTTCCCTGTGCTACTAAGTTGTACATATTCTAGGTCTCAGCGGGAAATTAAAATTGTTGTTACACAGTATAGTGGTATGGAAATACCAAAACAACTACCAAAAAACCCCCTCCTTATTGAAAGGAAGCAAAGTTTACTAGCATACCAGCCACAATGTTTAAATCCAGCTATAACATCCCAACCTGCTGGCTGTTCCAGAGGCTACAGTGCTGGGAGGAGCGTGCACATAGCCCCACCAGCAAAGCAGTCCCGCAGGGGTATGTGGGGTGAATGCACAGCACTGGTGGCCCAGGACCTCCCATCTACTTTCAGAGCCCTCTAGGGGCTGTAGGTGAGGGCCATGGTGGCACGCACAAGGAGGGCCCAGTGAGGTGCCAAGGGAACGTCAAGGTCAGGTACTACTACACGAAGTTACCCAAGAACCTGAACCTGGAGGAGTAGATTCTGGAGCAGCTCCTTCATCTCTGCCACTGCCAGGAAGAGATCTCAGAGCTGAAGACTGATGCGGACAAGATCACTGACAGGGTCAAGGAGATCCTGGTTGACTGTTAACAAACCCATCAAGGCCCTCATCACTGGCCCACAGAAGCAGAACACATTCCAGAAGTATTAAGAGTCTTTGACCAAGGTAAACAGTGGCCCCCACAGGACTGCCCCTGCCCACCCCACCCTCCCACTCCACCAGCAATGTGGGGGGAGGGCTGTGGCCAGGCCTGGTGCCATGAGCAGGACTCCCCACGACCCTGGCCCAGGGGCCTTTTCTCTGCCCACTTAGTTTTTCTTTCTTTGAATACAACCAGAAACAAAAAGATATACTATCTTCATTCAATTACAAAAAATTAAATTCAGATTGATTTTATGTTTGCACGGATGAAACATAAAAACTTGTCATCCTTTGGGCTCCATCAGTTTATCGCTGTGTCTCAGTCTCATACATAACTAATCAGGTTTCTCCCTCATGTGACTGTTCTTCAATCATTTGAAAACATTTACTAGGCCCTTACCAAGATATATTCTATTTTCCATAGTAAGTATTTTCACTTATTTCTTCTTTTCTCCCATAATGATAGTGTAAGAACCATCCTCCTCCTCTGTAATCTTCTATAAATGTTCATCTTGGTGTGCATTAAAAATTTGGTGTTTAAAATGAAATATAGTAATCAAGATGTGGGATGGCCAGGTTGGAGTATGCCTAGAGCTGACTTTATGCCAAAACAGCCATTAAAATCTCTTCAGCATTACTATTGTTGTTATGCTAAATCTCCTCATATTTTTCCCTCTGAGGTAAAATTTATATATACTGAAACGCTCACCGATTAAACCATATAATTCACTGAGTTCTGATAAATGCACGCATCCAGAAACCTCCACCCTGTTCAGGATTGAACATTTCCCTCACCCCAGAATGATGCCCTCAGTTCCCTTCTAGCAAGTCCCTGCTCCACATAGGGTAAAAAACAGTTCGGATTTCTATTTCCATTTATTAGTCTGTTTTCTCTCTTCTAAAAATTCATGTAAACCAAAAAAATACAATATGGACTCATTTGTGTCAGGCTTTGTTATTCAACATAATCTCTTTGTGATTAATACACACCACTGTGCGTATTCATTTTTGTTTGTTAAATTCTAATTGCCATAGCAGTGTTCCACGGCTGAAACGCACATGATTTGTTTTTGTTTTTTCATTCACCTGTTGGTGGATAACTTAGGTTATTTCCATGTTTGGTTTAAGAGTATATCTGCTTTGAACATATCTATACAAGTGGTTTTATTTTTTGGGTGTAACTAAGACAGACAGTTAGGAATTGAAAGCCTTTCTCAGAGGTCAATATTTTCTTAGCTAGGGGAAAACTAACTCATTGTAAAGAGTAGTCATAAGGTTTTACGTGCCCACTAGCAACGTGTACGTGTTTTGCTGCTTCACATTGGTGTCCTCAGGCTTTTTAATCATCCTATTGTGTGTGAATTAGCAACACATTGTGGTTTTAAAGTGTACTTTCTGATGATAAATACATTGAGCATCTTTTGTCCACGTTTATAGTATTTTTGGCTTCCTACTACGTGTTTATTATGCCCCTCAACTATTTTAGGTATCGATCAGTTTGTATTCTGATACGAACTGTGTGAATTGTGTACTTATGTGTTTTGAATATTTTCCCACTCTGTAACTTTTTACTCATTTTGTCGTTTTTGAAAGTCAAAATGTTTATATTGTTATGTTTAAAGTTATTGTTCTAAGAAATCTTTCCTTATTGCAAATTCACCAAGATGGTCTATTTTTAGACCTTGTGTGTTTCTTGCTACCATGTATATACGACTATGATCCACCCATTTTATATGTGAAGGGATACTGATAGTTTCATTTATTTATTTTTTTAACATATGAATATTGAATTGTTCCAACACCAATTGTTAAAAAAATCTTCTATCAAATTTCCCTGACTCGTAATTCAAAATCAATTGACAGTCTAAGGATAAGTATATCTCTGAATTTTTCAATATAGATAGTTAGAACATCTGTATCAATTCTGGGTCTGCCTCCACTAACTTCCTTCTTTTCTTGGTCAGGGGTTTTATTTTCATGCTTCATTAATGCCTTGTAAATGTTTTACTGTATGCTAAACACTGGGAAAAAACTGTAGAGATCAGAATTCCATTTATCTACTTGTCTTCATTTAAAACAATACCACATTGCTATAATCATTATAGCTTTATATCTCAAAAAAGTTATAGTTTCTATTCTTTTTACTCATCTCTGCAGTTATTGGTTTTCATCATGTCTTTAGCTTGAAGAATTTCTTTTGGAATTTCTTGTACTGGAAATCTGCTGCACATAAATCCTCTAAACAACTGACTGTCTGAAAATGTTTTTACTTTGCCCTCATTTTTGAAGAACATTTTTTGCTGTATACAGAATTCTAAGTTGACTGTTTTTTCTTTCAGCACATTAAATCTATCCTTCAATAATATTTGGACTCCACTGTTTCAAATGAGAAGAGGAATCAGCCATCATTCTTACCTTCTGTTGTCTATGAGGTGTCTTCTCTCTCTCTGTCTCCCTCCCCACTCCCTCTCCCTCTCTTTCTCTCTCTGCTTTTAATAACTGTTCTTTCTCTTCGGTTTCAGGAGATTAACTATAATGTGCCAAGGTGTGCTCTTCCCTTTCCCCTCTTAGCTATCTCTTTAATTATTTCTTCTGCCCTATTATTTTTCTCCTCTTTTTGAAAATCCAATTATGAATGTATCAGGGCATTGGACATTTTCCCATAGGCATTGAAAACTTGTTCATTTTTCACTTTTTTCTTTTATGGATCAGTTTTCCTTCAGGTTTACTCTTCTTTTGTCATATTGGATTCAGTCTTGTATTAAGCACTCAAGTGAGAGATTCATTTTTATGTAGTATTTTTTAACATTTCAATTTTGTTCTATTTTTAAGCTTCTACTCTGCTGAATATTTTCATACATTCATTAATATTTTCCATTTTTATAGTAAATCTTTTAATATTTTTATCAGTTACTTTAAAACTCTTCTCTGATAATTAGAACATCTCTATTAATTCTGGGTTTGCCTCTACTAACTTTCTTCTTTCTTGATCATGGGTCCTGTTTTCATGCTTCATTAAATGTCTTGTAAATTTTTTTATTGTATGCTAGACATTGTCAAAAACTAGAGACTGGAATAATAATATGTATCTCTTCTAAAAACATGTAAGGCTCTCTGTAAGGCTGCAACTTTGGAGTGCTAAGTCAATCCAGTCTCTAGCTGAGATGAGTCTCAGCTTTTTGGCATATTTAGTTCAGATTCATTTCATTACTAAATTCAAATATTCTGAAGGCAGAATAGTGACATCTGTTTTATTAGATTTTGAGATGTAAAGAACAACGTTCTGAAAACTTTTTCTTTTCCAATTAGCAACTCAGCCCTCAACTTTCTAAACTGTGGGGAATTTTTCTCTGTTTTTTAGCTAGACTACCAGTTATCTGTATTTCTGCAAATATCTTTCTACTCTCTTGTCCCACCCACTAATTTCTACACCTGTGGAAATTATGTCCTTACCTTGGTTTCAAAAGTTTGTTGCAATTCAGCAAGTAGGTCCACAGTGTTTCAGAAATATTTTCCGAGCTCTTTTGTCCTGAATCCCACCTTGAGAAGAGCTTTGCTTCCCACCAGGGAAAATTCAATCTTCCTGAGAGCACGCCCTCTCAGCTCTCTCTCACTGCACATCTCGCCCTCACTGTACTGTGTTACGCATGTGAGAAGGCCTGTGAGAGAAACGTGTCAAGTAGACAAAAACTTCTTTCTCTGGTGCTGCTCAGGATTCTAATGCAGCATGCTAGTCAACACACAAATATTACTAATTCGTTAGATGTTTGTCTTCATTTCTATTTTGTGATAGATTTTTCTTAACAGCTTTCTGACAAAGATGGACAAAAGCATGGTTTTTTCTCCAAGATAGGGCTTGTCGCTTTCTGTAATTTAGATTTCTTTGTAACCTCAGCTATCTGACTTTCTGAGTCTCTGATTTTGTAGCTTATCTGGCAAGTTTCTGTGATTCGAGTGACGAAGATGTGGTCTTATGACTTTATCCTAAGTAGTAGCAAAAGGTTAATCTCCACATTTTTGCTTCCCATCTGTTTTTTTCCATTTAAACTTGTTTTCAAATAACAAAGTTGCTTTTGTTTTTGTTTCTTTTCCTCTTCTTGAACTATGGACTTGGTTTATCTGTACTGACTCTCAACAGTTCTTAGGGAATTTACTTTCTATTTGCCTTTGCATCTTTGTGTTTTTGCCACACTAATACTGAGCCCTTGAGTTCCTGTCCCACTGGCTTTCAATTTTTCTTGCTGGGAAAATTTTGAATAGTTTCTGAGATCCTATTAAGATTTTCATTTGGACACATCATGGCTTTTATCCATGTCGTGCTTAGTATTGTGAGCTGTCCTGAAGGTGAGCCCTAACACTACTGTGAAAAGCAAAATTAGTCCTGGTACGTTAAATGCTCTTGAATGTTACTGCTTTTGGCTGTTTGATCACATATGTTATACTTGCTTATCAAATCTAATCACAGCTTTGATACTGTGCCTTCTAGGTGAGTGATTTTAGTTAAATTGAGCATTTCTTCTTACATTTCAAACTTAGACCTCAAAATAACATTTGTGCTTTTATTGCTGTGCTAGTACATAATCTATTTTTTCTGTGTGAGGTATGAAGCAAAATTATAGTATTGTTTTTAAAGTACCAAAAATGTAGTGATTATGCTACATTTAAATTAAATCATGCAGAGAAATCACTAGCAAATTCATGTTTAAAGACAATATATTAAGAATGAAAGTTACATATGCTATATTTGTCTATTTCACATAACTCTAAACTTATCATTATTTCTAGAAGAGATAAAATTTTAGATTCATGTTTTTAAAATAATCAGTATTTTCTTGACATAAGGAAATTACAAAATTACTAAACACACAATTTTATTAAATTATTAAACATTCAACCTTAATGGTATTTTATAAATCTGTATTATATACTTTTCTCTAAATTAAAAAAAAATTAGTCTAAAGTTTCTCTTTACCTAATCCCACTTCCTGAGAGAATTCACCAACTTCGCTGGATAATCGTGGGCTGCGATGAAGACCTTTGAAAATGTATATCATATGAATTATAATTATATAAGTATGACTAGTTGTGTACACTTTTTTTCTACTCTTCAAGTATATAGCTGAAAAAGGCGTCAAGAGGCGAGGCTTTGATGACTAACGTACCTCTGTATGGCTTTTCTTGCACCTGTCTGGTTTGGAGTTCATTGAGCTTCTTGGGTCTGCTGGTTTTTTAATCACATTCACCAAACTTTCAGTCAATATTTCTTTAGTTATGTTTTCTATGCCATTCTTTTCCTCTCTTTTTCTGAAGTTCCAATTAAATTTTTATTAGCCTCCTTGACAATGTGTCTTCAATGATTAAAGTTCTGTTCATTTATCTTGGAGGTGACCACACTAGCTTTATCAGAACTACTAGATGGCATGAGGAGGAGCAGGATTGCAAGAGCTGGGATTTTTCTTACGTCTGAGTTTGTACAAAGAGCACTTCATACATTCAACTAAGGTACAGTCATGTGTGTATTAAATCAATTTTGTTGCAGTAGAGTTTTAATAAAGTAGGATAAGAGTCCTTTGACAGATAAATGAATAGTAAATATTTTCTCCTAGTCTGTGGTTTATTTTTTATTTCCTTAATGGTTTATTTTCAAAAACAGTACACTTTAATTTTTATTAAATCCGATATGTTGACTTTTTCTTTTATGTTTAGTGCTCATCCTGTCCTAACAATGAAGTTTTCATATTTTAAGTTTGTCACTTTGCTTTTACAACGTGTCATGACCAGTGCTAATGTTTCAGCACTGGACTGCTCACTGCTGATGTCTGCTTCTTTAAATCAGCATTGTAGATAGCAGCAAACCCCACAAAATATTACGTAATCCTTCCCAGCTTTATCAGGATCTCAGGAATGCCATGTCTGCCAGTATTGTGCAATGTGGCCTAAGGGAGGTCCTGAAATTGTTTGGCAAGTCTCATTTTCCATTTTGATGGTATTTTTATCTTGCTAAAAGAAGCTGTACAAAGAGCGATTAGGCAGCAAGACTGTGGATTTCTAATTGATGCCCTGGCCTTTAAATCTGCCTTCACACGAGTGGTGATGTCCTAAAGAAACACTTTACTCAAGGGGCCATTAGGCAGAAATGCTCTTTCCTGATAAATGATGTCCTGGCCTTTCAATTTGTCTTTCTCAAGGTGGTTCTCTATTTAAGGGGTACCTTGAAGATGGAGAAAGAAATGAGGAGGAGTGGGAAAGACTAAAATGTATTTCTTACCATTATCTCATGCCTAATAACCCATGTTTTACATTTTTCTTCATCGAAGTAGGTACTTATAAAGGAATCCATTTTATCATGAGACATTTCAGATCAATGACATCTGTACTCTGCACTCTCCTATGTTCTCTTTTCTAAAGGAGACGATGGGCTGTCTTATACTTATCCCAGGCTTAGTGAGACCGCCCTCTTGGAGGCTCCTTAGTGAACTTCACGTACATCCACTGGAGGTGGTAGGCTAGTGTTTGACATGGACCTGAGGAATCTTAAGGTCTGAATGTGTAAAAGTATGGCAGTGAATCTGAGCTGGTAGGAGAGAGGAGGATTCTTCGCACTGGGAACCAGCTGTACTTCCCATGGCAGGGGACACAGGTGTGCTTCACAAAATATTAAGTGGCACATACAGGAGAAAGACCCCACTGGAAATCACTTATTATTCTGCCTCAAAGGACCAACTGTAATGGTATTTATGATCCATTAGAAAATTTAAGAAAAGAGGAAAATAAAACCAAGGAAGGACAAAGGGATGAGTAATAGACTTGTAAATACATTACTCATGATCACAAGGAATGAAGGCCAAGTTTTCTCATAGAAACTTCCCTCAAGAGAAAGACTCAATACTAAATACCTGCCTGGCCCAGAGAGAACAAATCTATCCATAAAGGTTCCCAGTAAGGTGTGAACCTCACAGCCCCCTTACCTTTTCTCTCTCCTTCAATTTAGGCATTGGTGGGATCACAAACTGGTTAGCTATGTGAAGGAAGAGAAGAAATAAAAAGAGAAGGAAAGAGAGAGAGAGCAACCATGTTCTTATCTCTGAATGAATTACAAGAGTGCCTGCATACCTATTAACAGCCCCTAAGACAAAGCTACCCTAAGTGTTATCTGTGAATAGGGACTGAAATTGACTTATCTTTTGGACAGGACACTTACAGTTACTGACTTGTGACTTAGAAGGGTGGTAGCATCTCCAAAAAGTGATAGAAAAATCATAGATCCACCTGAGTTTTAACCCATTGGTTAAAATGAGAACTAACACAACAAAATAAACGTACAAAAGAGGGGGAGGCAAAAATGGCACTGCATTTTGCATGTCTTCCATGAGTCCTGCTGCTTCACCATGGCAAGGCAGTATCTTATTTCCAACATTTCTATCTCCAGTACAGTTTGAAAGAGTAGAGGTGATAGCAGGCATCCAATGGTTCTTTCTGATAATTCTCAAAGTTCTTCTACAGTTTTCACATCAGGTATTTTTACCATTGAATTTCCATTTATCCTCTTCATGAGGATTCTTAATAAAGTTCCTATCTATTTCTAGTTTGCTGGAAGTTTCCTTTACATTACAAATAAGAATTGAGCTTAATTAAATGATTTTTCCACATATATCAAGATACTTTCAGTTCTTTTTAGTATGTTAATGTGGTAAGTTTTTAAATTGCTGGGTTAAGCCTTATGTGGTTCTTATATATGACTTGAATTTTTATTCACTGGTTTTAATTTTTTTTTAAATAATTTCTGCATGAATGTTTTGTTTTGGTATGTTTGGTATCAAGATTATGCTTTTATAGAATACAGCTTAGTGAGTTGTGTACATATACATATATGTAAATATATAATACTATGATGATATATGTATATAATTGTATACATATGTATACGCATAATTTGTATATAATTGTTTTATGTATATATAATTGGTATATTATTATATGTATGTGTATATGCATACATATATATAATACATACCCTTTTTTTTCAGTTTTTGTACATCACTTCTTTTTTGTCGTACTTCTCTCTCATTGCCCTTTTTCTTGTTTAGATAAATTCTTTAGTAGTTCATTCTGTGAAGGTTTATTATAATAAATTCTCATAGTCTATGTATATGTACAAATATTTTTTTTTTTTAGTTTCTTTCTTCAAAGATAGTTAGCTGACTATCAAACTTCAGGCTGACAGATATGTTACCTTAGCGCTTGTGGTTATTTCTCTGTTTTCATTCATCAAAAGTCTTTCCAATTTAAATTTTATAGGCTCTTATTCCTAATAGTTTTCATATCTTCTCTTTAGTCTTAATGTTACATATTTTGTTATTATGAGTCTAGATATGGATGTATTTCCTTTATTCTGATAGATGTTTGATAGACTTTTCAATTTCAAAATTCTGATCTTCCCTTCTGGAAAATTCTCTTCATTAATGTGACACCATTAATTGACTGTCTAATGTGTGCTAAGCACTATATTAGGAATAACAGATAGAGCTGAATAAGCTTTAAAATTAGAAGGGGAGAAAAATAGGCAAATAGACCAACACAATAAAGTTGAATAAATTCTTAAACACTAGGAGCTGTAACAAGACAAATATGAGTGCTTTGTTAATCATGACGTAAGAAAAACTGGAGGAGGAATGTTATTTGGGCCTAAAATGAAGGAAATCCTGTCAGATGCTACAAGATAGATAAACCTTGGGGACTTTATGAGAAGCGAAATAAGCCAGTCACAGGGAGACAACTACTGTATGATTCCACATACGTGACGTTTCCAAAGTAGTCAAATGAACACAAGTTAGAAGGAGAGAGTAGAACGGTGGTTGTCAGAGTCTAGGGAGAAGAGGAAGTGTACAGTGGCTGTTCGATAGGTGCAGAGTTTCAGTCATGCAAGATGCAAAAGTTCTAGAGACCTGCTCTACAATATTACGCATACTGTACACGTAAAACATTTGTGAATAAGGAGAGCTCATGTGACATGTTTATCATAAAGAACAAAATGGAAAATTGGAAGAGAAGGAGGTAGCCGGGGAAAAGCCACAGACAGGATCAGTACAAGGAAATGATTTTTAAAATTGAATCTCGAGAGAGCATTGGGGAAATACAGGTACTTTAGTTCAATTTGCTCAGAGCTCAGAATGCAGGCACTGGAGAACACAGGTGGGTGCCTTCAACTCTGGTAAAGAATTCAGATTGTACTCATAAACACAGAGCATAGAGGTTTTTAAGGAAAAGTCAATATAGTCAATATTTGGATCACAGGTTTTCAACACTGTTTTGGTATTAGAACTTTTATTTCACATATAATTTTATGTGAAATTACAACATATAAAACAGGTCAAATCCAAGGTGCTTTACCTTGGAAAGGGGCACCACTGATTCATTCTAGGACAAAGCCTCCTCTGAGGCTACACCAGGGAAGTTTCATGCTCACATGGAGACCAGGCTGAAAACCTGTGATAAAGAGAAATCTTAAGCTGATTATTTATCTAGCTTTTTGGGGGGAGGGGGGAGGTAATTAGGTTTATCTGTCTGTCTGTCTATTTATTTTTAATGGAGGCACTGGGGATTGAACCCAGGACCTTGTGCAAGCTAAGCATGTGCTCTACTACTGAGCTATACCCTTCTCCATCCAGCTTTTAATGAAAGTAAATTTTGTTCAATTATTTGTAAATACCCAAGTTATCATGCAACAGTATCTAACATGTCTCTACTGTTTTCTGACCTAGGGTTGGTGGTAGTTAATGAATAATAAAGCAACTAGTATACACTGTTTTCTAATATTTAGCATAACACTGACCTTGCTAGTGATAAAATACATTATTTAAAATGTCTTATCTGAATTATGAGGATAGTCACTAGTCTATTTATAAATGTTCATATTTCTATAGGATTGCATATTAATTTGTTTCCTCCCAAAACTCTCTCATAGTATTATTTGCCAGATTATCAATTATTTTTCCTAGACATTTTATTTTTATGAACACTCAATCAATTTTACATATATGTAATATATAAGATCTGTAATAAAATATATAAAGGTAAATATATGATACATATTTTAAAAGTCCATATATATAGATATGGCATTTAATAACAGTAATATATATAGATGAATATTATAGATACATACATAGATATTGTAGACATGGCATATAATTATATGTAGTTAATATATTTACCTTAACTGTACTTTTGAAATTAATTATACCTTTGTTTTTAAATGTATATGTATATAATGTTGTATGTCTTGCTGATACAGTTGGAGACACTTCAAAGGGGTGTATATAAAGCTGACAAGAAGTAATTCTTTATATCAAAAGAAAAGGATAAACAGACAAAATATACTTTTAGGGAAATATGTTCATCACATATGTATTTGCTGTGGATGTGAATTAAAAATCTTAGTTATCTTTTGAAAATCGGATCAATTACACATATGTTTTAAATTATTAAAAGGTTATTGGGGCAAGTTTGCAAAAGTTTTCTCAAATAAGGTAAAATATCTTCTCTATAATGGATTTCAGATCTTTGATTCTGGGCAATCGGAACAGTTACCACCTAAACTCATTGCCATGAAACATTCTGAAATTTCTAAAAGAGGGAGAGATTGAGAGAGAGAAGGAAGAGAGGGGGTGCAGTAGGGGAGAGAGGGAGGAAGGTTAACTGCTTAGCTTCTTAAACCAAAACAAAAGAATTTTCTCAATGGTATTGCCCCTAGTGTCAGGCAGTTTAATACACAAACTAAACAATTAAAACATTGGAATGAATTTCCTCAGGGAAACAATATGTCAAGCCTAATCTGTCAAAAATAATAAAAATATAATAAAAATAGAACTTTGTCATTCAGTCAGCAAAGGCCCCAAAGAAGTTAAATTAAAGCAACAGATGAGTGCGTTGCTCTTGACTGAGAACATTTCTGATGGTGCTAATTACAGCCTTGAATACCGGCAAGTATAGGTGGTAGAAGCCTGCTAGGAGGGCTGCCGGGCTCTGAGACTGTCTACACAGGTCCCTGGGATCTGACATGGTTGACTGGTTTGCTTCTTCCAATTTGCTACAGGCCACTGACATGACTGAATAGCAGCGGAGTCCCAGAATGTATGTTCTGAGTCTTGATCACAGGATCATATGAAGCACAATGCTCATCACTGTTTTCCTTACTCAAACATTACACTGTGATTTAGATTTTTTTTTTGACAAGATAAAAGCTCTACTTGCAAATCTTCTGCCTTAACCATCCTCCTGGAATTTATTTTGAAAAGCAAAGTCTCCAACAAAGTAATGTGTCTGAATGTGCGCTGCAGAGTTGTGGACGGCTTCGTTCTTAAAGCATACAAAGGCAAGCGAAGGCAAATGAAGTAAATTAGTTCTTTACTTGCATTTATGTGGGTAAATAGATACTGTGTGTGTTTATGTGTGTTACTTGTGTGTTAGTAGTTCTTACTTGTCTACAGGAAAAATGGAAAAGAAGACTCACATTAAAAATGAGATATATTGCAAAGAGCCCGCTACTGGAGTCAGGAAGCTCGCCCTTCAGTTCTTCTTCTATTACTAACCAATTATCATTTATCTGATAGGATCTGAATGATAACAGAGCTTGAACTTGACCCTAGATCTTATGATTACAGGCTATAAAGTAGATTTATACTAGTCACCCAACAATTCTATAGCTCTGAAATGAGGACTAAAAGTCAGAGAGTATAGCTTGTGGGCCTCTGGATCAGGAAGAATTCAAGTCCGTAGCACCTTCTCTATAATGTCTGATCTCAGATAAACCATGTAGCTCTGCTGAGTCTGTTTGCTAATCTATACAATGGTGATGTCAAATATGTCTCAAAGATTGAGGTATATGGCTAGACACTGGGACACCAGTGTAAAAAATACTCACAAGGATTTTGGCTCCCATCTCCCCATCTGGAATAGGCTGTAGGGTAGAATTTTACACGCTCTCTTGCAAATTACACTGTAATACTACAGTGGAGAAAGCTGCCTCCTCCCTTAAACCACAAAGTTAGCCTTGTTTGTTGGTGATGTTGAAGACTAACAGAACAGAATTAGATTTCAATATTCCCATTATTTCTCTTCCTATGACCAGGAACCACTGTACGAGCTCTTCCTGCACTAACTAATGTTAACCTCATAACAACCTTGAATATAGCTACTATTATTATCATCCCCATTTTACAGATGAGGAAACTACAACGAAGAGAGATATAACTTGCCCAAAGACCTACAGCTAGCAAACAGTGGTGTAGGAATTTAAATTCAGGTAGTCTAGCTCATAGTAATCAAGACCTGAAAGCTTGGAGTAACATTTAATTATTCTTCTTCTTATTTTTTAAATCGTACAATGCCTCCTCTTTATAAACTGCTCACCCTGGTAAACATCCTGACTTGCAACCTGTCATATAGCTAACTTCAGTAGCTGTCTACTTGATCTGTCTCCTCACCTTCATTGTTCCTCCGCAAGTCAATTTGACACAAAGCAACCAAGCTGATGTTTTAAGAATCCAGTCTCCTCTGCTCCAAAACATTCCAGAGTTCCCTTCAATCTTTCAAATAAAGTCTGCACATTTTAATCTAGTACTCAAAGCTTCCCCATATGTACTTAACTTGTATTTTTCCCTTCTGCAAATCAACCAGATTATACTTCTGAAATTGAAGGGCCTACCAGTCCCTGAAAAATACCGTGATCTTTCACACACTATGTCTCTGAGCATGCCATAGAGATACCTTCTTTTTTTCATGCCGTGTTTCTGCTACTTGGACCCTATCTCTGATTCAGGAAACAATTTAAATGTAATTTTGGCCATCAGATTTCCCTGATCCCCTCAGCCTAGAAGTCATTTCCTCTCCTCTGAGGAAATTCTGGCACAGTGTACATGCTTTTACAGTGTGCTGATAATAAATCAATAAACCATGGCAGGTGTACATGTGTATATCTGTGTGTGTGTGTGTGTGTGTGTGTGTGTGTGTGTTCCAGCGAGTCACTTCTCTGATATTTATATGTATATCCTACACATTTTGAATCATTTAGCTGTAAATCAATATACTTGGATCAACTATCAGGAAATATGTGTTGAATGAGTGAATGAATGAATAACTGTATCAACTGTGCTGGCACTGATAGTTTTCTGCCCAGATAACTTAATTGTCTATTCATTTTACTGATCTCGTAAGGATCTGTCAGCACATAATAGAGGTATTAAAAAGGTACAAAAGAAGAAAAGCGACCTTGGAAAGTAGACATTTATCATTGATGGTTACCATAGAAGCCACATATCTGCAGAGACATATAGTTATCTGTATTCTGCCAAAGCATTTTTGATGTATTAACAGACTTTAATAAAGACAGTTGCCATCAGTTTTACAATCAACTCTAACAGTGAAAACAAAAGTGTCAGGCATAATCCATAGTCATTGTTCTTTAAGTGAGATCAGTCATTTGACAAACACTTCTTCAATTTCCAGAGAGTGAAATTCAGAATTCTGTGTCCTCTAAGAAAGTCAAGATCTTAGAGTAAGTATCTCGTCATTAATTTAGGAAAGTTATACTGTACAATGTCTGTTATGAAGTATGTATCAATGCATTTATGTTTATGTCCACAAAATATCTGTAATCGAAGTTTTGTTCAAATACAACATAAGTAAACACTCACTCCACTGTATGCAGACAAGATGAGAACACCTGAGACAAAGGGAAACTCAAGAGGCAGCCCCTCAATGGCCCCTGACTCCTTTGTTGGTTTGCTCTGAGCCCTTCATGACAGACACTTTGTCTAAAGATGACAGCGTTTCATCACCTTCAAGAGATTAAAGCTCCCTTTAAAACACTGGTTCCAACACTGTTCAAATGTGTCAGCAGAGTAGCAAATTCAATAAAAATCCCTGAGGGTGAGATGCCAATTAGGTCTAAAGATGCCAAGATTTGCCCAGGAACAACCGGCAGGCTGTGGAGCTATTTAAATGGCACAGATTTCCAAGCATTCATTTATTCTCTAGTCCTATCAACCTTGGGGGATTTTTAAACTTCTTTATTCTTTTTTTGGGGGGGGCAGGGGGTGGGTTGGGCTCACTGGGGGTGCATAACTCATTCCAGGTCACAGACTGAAATTATTCAGACAATGTATGACATTGCTTTTATTGGATAATGTGCCAAAATCAAAATCAGGCTCAGAAAATCTATTTCTACTTCTTTTACTTGGGTGTTAAATTGCAGTATTCAGAACTAAAACTGTCCGTTAAGCTTTGTCTGAGAAACAGTAGGGGAGTTTCAGCCTCTTACCACAGCTCAACAAAAGAAACATATAATATCTGTGAGTGTACTATATGTAAGTAGTAATTAAATAATCATTAGCTTTTGGTGAATTATTTGATAATAATAGCTATGTTTTGATCTAGCTTAATAGAGAGGTGGGCAGTGCTGTAGAAGGTACACAGGGGAAGGGAAGCAATGGCAAGGGCGTTCTCCTGAGAAGGAAGGAAAAAAACCTCTGCAGCAGAGTGTGCTGGAGCAGCAGAGCAATCCCACTGAAAACCCGGGTTATCCTCAGGCAGTTCTAGCAAATGAAGATGCAACGTACCAGTAACATCTGCTTCCCAAAGGAAAGCAATTAAGATGTGCGCGCGCACGCACACACGGACGCACACACTTATGTGTCTCGTAGTGTACGAGTACAGGAAAATAGCACTGAACCAATCCCCATTTTCAGCCTGACACTGTACCCTGAGTCTTTATATATATTATCTAACTTAATACACAAACACAGTGAGGGACAGGGATTATAATACCCATTTTACAGATGCTGTGGAACATGAAAAGAAATTCTCAAATTCATATAGTTTCTCAGTCAGTGAGCTAGAATTTTAATGGAAAGGTAACTCGCTCCCTCTGTCTCTCTCTCTCTCTCTCTCTCTCTCACACACACACACACACACACACACACACACAACTGTAACTTGCAGAATGGGGCAAATATTAGTTCACAGAATCAAAATTTAGCTAATCTATGTCAGAACTGATACCAGGTGTTTTATGACTTAAAATGGAATTTAATCAATATTAGCTAAGGCGCGTCTGCGTCATGGAGCTATAGCTTGAGGTCACTTCTGCAGATGGGCTCCGTGGCCTAGCGTCCCCGTCCGCGCCACCTGTGATCGTGCGCCGAGGACCACGAGGGGTCGCCGCCGAGGTTTCCACCAGCCCAAGCAAGATCATGGCAGCCATCCCCTCCAGCGGCTCGCTCGTGGCCACCCACGACTACTACCGGCGCTGCCTGGGCTCCACTTCCAGTAACAGCTCCTGCCGAAGAGCGGAGTACCCTGGGGAAGCCATCCCCCACCGCCTGGGTGTCCCCAAAGCCGACCTAGGACTCTGGTGGGCTAGCTTCTTTTCGGGAAGTCCACTCTCCCATTCATGGCCACAGTGTTGGAGTCCCCAGAGCACTTGGAATCGCCCCAGACCTCCACCAGCACGATCACCTGTGAGCCGGCTCAGGAAGCCACGGGGAAGCAGGAACCTGGCAGCCAGCTGGCAAAACCAACTCCGGGGCCCTGTCCTGAGAGGCTGCCACCGGCTGCCAGGCTTCCTTCCAAGGCACTAGGCTCAAGAGCCCTCCGCCTCCTCTTCCATCCCCTCCCTGAGACAAGCAGGCTACAGCCAACAGAAACGGGTGGGTTCTTCAATATCAAAACAGCAAAACGCCAAAAAGGAAGTTGAGAGAACCGCACTCTTTTATCCACGCCGCATGAGAGCCTTCCTGACCCTTCATAACCCCGTGCCTTGCACCGAGTAGAAAATAAACTCCAAGTAGCCATCAAAAAAACAATTAACTACATATGTATCAGTACATTACACTGCAGCAAATTTCACAAGGACTAGAAGAGGGAGGTGGTGTTGGTACTAAACCGTTAAAAAAGACAAAAGGGTTTTAATTGTCTTTTGGCTGCATTAAGAGCAACACAACTTCTGAAGGAAAAGAGTAGATTTGTTCTACATTTAATAAAGCAATCATATCATAATGTATTCTGTAAAGTTCTATTTGGCTTATTAATAATCAGACATAGAAAAGCTGAGAACACTCAAAGGAGAGCAACAGAATATTAGAAGTACTGAACGATCTGTAAGAAGAAAGAAGAATCAAGGTAACGTGATAAATCTGTATTTGGAGGATCATTGTATAGATAATTATTCACGGAATTTTTTTGTCCATATAAAAAAGAGAGGAAAATCCTTATTTCAAATTATTATAGGTTAGAAATTACAGAATAAAGAATATAAAGCAAATAAGTGAAATATATATGAGTGTCATTATAATTTTGGAAAAAAATAATTTCTTAAAACACATGCATATGAAGAAAGCACTACACATAAAGGATAGAATAATACATTTGACTACATAAAATTAAAATTAATTAATACTAAAATTTCTACAGTCAAATTCTAAACAAGTGACAGACGGTAAGATATCACTTATATATCTTATAATCAAGAAAGGGTAAGCATTCAGATGTAGACAGTACTTCCTTGAATCAATAAGAAAATATGAGCAATGTATATAAAATAGCATTTCACATAAAAGGAAAGCCATTTGGAAAATAAACACATAAAAACATGCTAACTTCACTATTAATCAGGCTAACAACAGGGAGATGTTTTTCCACAAGCAGAAGGATGAAAAATTTGCAAATTGCCTACTATTTGTGACAACGTGAGATACGAGGAACTCATGCACTGTTGAGGGAAATAGTTTACTACAGACATTTTATAGGGATTTTCAGAATTTCAAATAAGTTGAGATGACTTCCACCATCCCAGCAATTTCAAGGCTAGAAGACTTAAGAGCTGATATTCATAGCATCATTGTTAGTTTGAAATACAATAGTAACTGCCTCCGTGCACACTGATTAGAAAAGGGATAGAAAAGACATGCTATAAACACACAGTACACTACCAGCTAAGGGTTAAAATGAATAAATGAACTAGACCAACATGTGTCAACGCTGATACATACCAAAACAAGAACAAGCCACGGTTGCCAAAACATACTTATGGTGTGAGAGAATTCACATTAAAAAACAAAGTAAAGCTATATTTTATGGATTTGTATGTTTGTGTAAAAGTACATAAACATGGGCCAAAATAACACACATCAAATTTAATCTTTTCTTCTGGGAAATAAGTGAAGGGAATGGGCTGGAGAGGACTATAAAGAAAATTTCACTTTTCCTCTTGTCACATTTATGTTACAATGAATTTGAAGTGAACACAGCACTTTAACATTGGCTAATTCTGAGTAATGAACACAGGGATGCTGGCTGTATTATTTTGTTGACTCATCTGTTATTTAACTGTGTTCTATAATCAAAAAAGAAAAACAAATGTACAGTCTAGAAGTGATCTGTCTTACCTTGAAGAAGTGATGGCATTTAATAGTTTTCAAGTCAAAATTTCTCAAATATTGAAAGGACAGCCAAAAGAGATCATGAATCCTTAGCGTGAAGATTTTCAATGCAAGTTTGAACAAGCACATTTGCTAAAGTAGAACTGGATGGCAGATTAGACTAAATAAATTTTGAGATCCCTACTCACTCTGAGAAAATATAGTCAAAATGTGTGATGGATGCTAAAATATCTTTTTAAATTAATTATTTATTGCTTATTTTTATTATCCAGCATGGATGAATACAAATAATATTAAACCTAACATTTCATTATTAAATGACAATTAAATCTGTATCCCAACAAAAAGGGAAACATGAGACTTCAGCTTTTGAACAACTACAAACTCTCTTGGCCTTTTTATTTCTAACCACACCATGACTTAGATTCAGCTTCATCAACTGCATCTGAATTTATGAGTCTCAAGGAGGTAGCTGCATTGTGGCAGAATTGAGAATTTTGTATTTCAACACTTAAATATGGGCAAGCAATCAGACTCAGGATTACTTGTCTGTCACTCTTCACTGGTTTTATTTGCCTTTTCCTACCCTGAGCCCTTTCAATTCCCCTCTGAACATCTTTGGGGAACATTACTGTGGCACTCAGTCAACCAGGAGAGCTTAACTAACAAAGAGTTTGCCGGCTTTATTCAGAGAGATGAAAAGCAGGGAGCTGCATCCGTGATCACGATGCGCACAGTCTAGCTGGAGAGAGGCACTACCCTGGACTCACTTCTCAGAAAGCCCACGGGGAGCGCCCGGATTTTGGAGGATCGGAAGTAGAAAGTGAATGTCAGCTCAACTGCCAGGTGAAACGTAGGGAAAGGGGGAAAAGGCCAACTGAGGTGTTCTTTAAAATCGTTTCCCTTCTCATCCCAGCCGCTGCTTGAGCAGGCCCTGTGTACCTTCGTCTGTGTGGGTAAAAACGAACAAAGAACAAGTGAGAGAACGTGCAGGCTGAAGAGCTGCACTCAAGCAGCTGGACGTGGGAGCAGGGCAAGGGGTCAGATGCCCGATGCTGCATCAGCACTAGGCCGGACAGAAACTACAGGAGACGTGGAGGAGACAGCCCCTCTCGTTCTAAAGGGCATTGACACATGTCCTTGGAAAGACTCATGTAGCTTATTTTACCTCCTCAATGAGGCCGATGCAGGACACAGCTCATCTTTAATTCATTTGATGTGAAAACAGTCTGACCGTAAAGTGGCATGAGTGAACAAAACCCCAGAATCAACAAATGAGTAGTAACCTTAGAGGAAAAAAGAAGAGTGGATTTGTGTCCTATTTTCCCATATCTTTGTCTTGGTTCCAAATATCAGACTGAGTATTCATTCAGAGAGATGGAAATTTCATTATGTTTGCATTTTGTTATGTAGAAATCTGTCTGGAGTTGTGAGAACAGAATGGTATTTGTGATTTGTGTAGGACTTTATTGTCACATTTCCAGTATCTGGATCTACTGGAAAAGGTTGGTCGTCTTATCATTTTGCAAAACAAGAAATTGAGACAGTCATAAGAGAAATGCTATGGACCCATTGCTATGGACCAAATGTTTTTGTGCCCCACTCCCAGATTCTTGTGTTGGAACTTTATTTCCCAACATGGTAGTATTTTGAAGGTGGGGATTTTGAGAGGTAATTAGTTTGTAAGGATGGAGCCCTCATGAATGGAATTAGTGCTTGCTATGATCTGAATGTTCATGTCCCTTCAAAATTCGTATGTTGAAATCATAATCACCAAAAGTATTAGTAGGTGGGGCCTATTGGGATGTGGGATGTGCTAAAGCCATGAGGGTGACATCCTCATGAATCAGATCAGTACTTTATAAAAGGGCCTCCAGAGAGAGATCTAACCCCTTCTAACACGTATGGGCACAGCGAGGATGCCAGCTGCAAACCAGAAAGAGGGCTCTCACCAGGAACTTACCTGGCTAGCACCTTGATCTTGGACTTCCCAGCCTCCAGAACTGTGAGAAATAAATGTCTATTGTTCAGCCACTCAACTGACAGCATTTCATCCTACCAGCCAGAACTAAGACACCCATGGTCAACTAATTACCAAAGTCTGATCTAGCATTCAGACTCTAGTCTAAGACTTCTTTTCTTTTATTATACTGAATTGTTACTACTGATTTAAATGTTAAGCATTTGTCATTTGTCACAAAGAAATATTTACAGGGACCAGAGAGAAATATAATGTCTTCACTGACTACGCGTAGAGGGGTGAGGGAATTCTATGAACAACTAGAGACTGTGGGCTCCATATAACTCATTCAAATTATATTTTAACAATGCATGAGCTGAACAAATCATACATACATATCTATACCTACATTCTTATGTATTAGGTCTGTTACATAGTGAGCTGAATAATACACGATTGTCATTATGATTTGTATTTGCTGTTAATACATTGTGGGAAATTAGACCTGAATCTGTGATGACCAAAAACAAATAAATATCATTAACACAACAACAAAAATATTTCATAGACTCATGGACTTGAAATACCAAAGCAAAATTTTTGCTGAAAAGATCTAAGGTCTTCCCACATTTTAGTAACTTAAAGGTTTTTAACTGCATGAATATTTCTTAAGCGAATGTTTATTATGCACCTCGTGTGGGCAGTATGACTGTGTACACACAGAACAGGAAGCAGAAGTTAGACAAACTGGACAAAAGGTGAGTGTGGTTAGCGTTTGGAAATGGCAGCCTCAGGGTTCCTCGATGTACAGTGACCTTATTCTCTAATTGGAACAGGTTTGAGAGTGAGGGGAGCTCTTAGTCAAGTATTCTGGGGCCACAGGTGTGACCTAAGAAGGATGGTTCATGTCCTTTAGTATTGTCTTGAGATGGCAAACCTTTTCCATTTAAATCCAGAGACTGGCAATGTGAGAACAGTCCTTTCTGCCTCGATACTAGAATAATAGGTCAAATAAAGTTCTGCAGTTGGAAGGAGAGTGTTGAATGTCACCTTTATTTTTATTTTACTTATTTCACTCAAGTTAGTAGAGTAAAAAAAATACTATGCTCAATTTTCTTCAGGCTGTATCAGAATCAGTTTTTGAATCCAACATGAAGCACACAAAGATTGCTCCCAGTTTAATTTCTCAGGTACCCTGAATTCCTTATTGTTCCCTTTATCAAGAGTCCATTGTCGTTTTGACAAGCTACAAAACATCCTGCATTGGTCCTGATCAGTGGCTTGTTGCAATCCTTGTTAGCCTCAAATCATTCCTATCTCCATTTCAGACAACCTTTGATTCAATGAGAAAAGCACTGGTTACCTTTTGGAGAACTTGAGCTACTGTGTTTTCCAGATGCCTTATTACACTGTTTGTGACTGAGTTTCATTTATCACCTGAAGACAG